AACAGGTGATAAGTTGGATCTGTATAGATTAATGCTTTTGTTGGTCTGGATGATATAAAAGCAACTGTCAGAAATTTGTGACAGGGAGATGTTTTGTCCTGTGCAGCTGCACCACTAACGGTAGCCTGGTGCTTGATGAGATCTGTGATCACTGCAGAACACTTACTGAAGCTAAGTAAGGTATAACTGGGGCTGATAAATGTAAGCTGGTTTAAAAGCTCATAGTTCCTGCTTAGTGACTTTGGTTGGGAGCAGCCTTTTGGCCTGAATGGCAGGGATCCTTTAATTCCCAGGTGCTAAAAATCTAATGTTACATGTCAGCACTGCTCAGTGGAATGGATCAAAGATTGTCCTTCTTCAAGAATCTGTATCATTCGCATGAGCTGTGATCCTCAGCCACCCGCACTTCCATCAAGACAGGGTTTACAAAGAACTGGCAAACCCCAGGGGCTGATGAACTCTACACTGCTCTTAGCAACACTGCCTTACTACAGAGATTTAGGAGTTGTCTTGAACTCCTCCTAATTATAGTCCTGCAAACTATTGAATTCAGATTAAGCAGCAGTTCAGCCAAACCTCGTGCGAGGTCAGAAGGATGAGAGGAGGTCTGTAGCATCACTTCTCTGGTGGGTGGAAGAGTGGAGCGGGCTCATCTGCAGAGAGGTAATGCTCCAGATGCAGCAATGTTCCCTGCAACTAAAAAGCACACATCCTTGCCAGCTTCTAAATCTTCAAAAGTTTTCTTTGATCCTACCTTTTTTTCAACAGACATTCTTGTATGATTCGAACTTCAAAACAAAACACTACTAGATTTTTTTTTTTCCTCCCTTCAGAGAGATTGTGGCAACAGATGTGTGGCAGATTTGATTGTGTTGCTCATTACAACTGCTGGGAGTCTTCTACAATACACATCTTAATAGTAAATAAGAAACTAGGTAGCATGATGTTTGATATAGAGTATTAGTGGAGAAAGGGTAATAAAACTTGAGCTACTACAGCCTAGGAGGGATTGGTCACATTGGCCAGAGAACTGTGGAAACCTAAAGAAAAAAATATTTTTCAGGTACTTTCTATTTCTTAAGTGGTGGGTGTCACCATTTGGGGCATAGTGAATAAAAATCTGGTGCCAAACATGTGCATGTTTTGTGATTGGTGGACATATTCGAAGTGACTGCAGCGTCAGTTAGGTGCAAAGTTTTGGTTGACTGGGTAGATTCATTTTTCCCCCCCACCCCGTATTCATGCATAAATCTGTTGTTCGGAAACATGGGGAAATTGTTCTTGAAGGTACAAAGAAGGAAACACTAAATGTGATAGCGACTTTTTTACCTCTATCTCTAAATATAAGCAAGTCCCAGAGCTGAATTTCA